TAATGTTGCTCTGGAAACACACTCCAACACACTTTTTAGGCCGTACGGTAATGGAGAGCTCATTTTGAAACCTCTTTGCAGACAACTGAAAACCGTACAAATCGGTATCAGAAGTAAATAAAGTTCAAACCAACCTAATATAGTGTGATTCTGTTGATAGTGTCATAACAGCATTCCGACGATGCCTGTTCTAATGTTGCCTAGCAATAAGAAATGTTAGAACATTCCTTGATGTTTTAGAATGATTATGTCTTTAGAATTAAATAAAAATACTGTGTGCATTTCGATATTCTGTAAATACACTTTGATTATTGTACAGCAACAAAGTCAGGCATTAAGCCATTTTTTAAATTACGTTGTTGATGCTCTTTTGGATATGACATTGATGGTGGGCTTGCCTCACTGTCATCCTTTTGGGCCTTGAAGCTGATTTGAGAGTGAGTCTATTTAATGTCGGAGTGCTGTGTGATGTGCAGAGCACAATGCTTACACATACTTGGAGAATGGTAAAAGTGGGTCACACAGCCCACTGAGATTCAGCCTGTACCATTCACTGATGTGGAAATAAGCCTCGTGCAATAGTTTTAACTACCACGACTGCACCATCGCCTACTACCAAAGTTAGCTTCCAGTCTTGTACAACACAACAGGGCAACGTTTTGCTAATTCATAGACAATTCCTAGACAATGCAGACATTTATACATAGTTATTGTTATATTCCATATATAGTTATTATCATAATTAGTCTAAATGATTGAATAATGCACTTTTTCTACTTCTATAGTTCATTTCTGTTTTTCATAACAAATTTTTTTATTATTTCCTTAATTTATATAATCTTTAAATCCTTGAATAACAAAGATAAAAATATATATATTTATATAAAAAGTGGAATATGCATCCCAGAGTGCATATGTTTTCATTGTTGACTGCAGAGATACATATGCTACCCAAGAGTATGTATCTAACCCAAGACATCAAGTGTGGTGAGAAAGAAGAAAGAACCTATTTCTTCGTGTTTAATAAAACTAATTGACTCTCTCCTTTTTTTTGTGATCTCCAAAAACATTTCCTGTTAAACAACTTAACACTGTTTGGCATTTAAGTATTTTCAGCACTTTAGCTTCCTTAGGTCAACTTACAACTTAGAAGCGGCAACTTACAGTCCATGCATCCACACAGTTAAAACTGATAAAAATGGACTAAAAACAGCATTTGAACTACCAAGGTAAAACTATAATGAAATCCTTCCATCCATGTAATCACCCCTATAACAAAAAAAATCAAATAAAAGTGTGACAGCTTGCAGAAAATTGGGATATGGTTAAATTTTGAAGATGTCCAACCTCTGAGGTCCAATTGTGGCCGGCCAGCTGTGAATTGAGAGCAGCAAACAGATCTCAGGAGGTGCAAGAGGCACAGGCAGATCGCCCACAGTTGTAACTGACAGCTTCTTGGTTTTCTCTGCCAACACTACCCCTGTGAGCTCACCTTTTACACCTATTTTTCAAATTGATTGATTTATTTTATTTTACAATACATCGAAATGTACTGCAAAGCATGCAGGATTGAGTATGATTCCAGAAATATGAAGCCCAAAAATAGCATGTAACTTCCTCCAACACCATCCTCTTCTGAAATCCTTTCCTCTCCCCCTGCATTCTTTCTCTATCACCTCATCTCTTTCATTCTCTTTCTCCCAAGGCTGTCTGTTTAGTCTGGGAATATTTGATTGGCAGGTTATAACCCTCAGTTGGGCTGACATTGTGGAAGTTTCTTATCTGTAATGCGGTGATTCTTGAAAACCTGCCATCCAGTGAAATCTATGGAAGCTTCAGGGTGGCCTTGTGATGCTGGTGAACAGGCATTCTGGCAGTTTTCATACAAAGAGTAAGGAATGGTCTCTGGTACTTACAAAGAAATCAGGCACAATGGGCACTGGCCTTGTGTCTGTGACAACCAGAACATTAACACTTGCCACGCAACCCACTAATCCACCAAAGTCCCTTTAACAGACAAAGATGAGCAACATGGCTGATGAGTAATGTTATAAATACATAGAGCCATGCGCTCTTATAGAAACCACATTTTCTCTTAATAATGGTGTCAAATTAATAACAGATTATTTTAATCTGAAATTCGGTAATTTGAGATTTTCATTCATATGGTCTGAATTTTCAGTGCACAGCTACATTGCAGCATTAAACCCAGCTGATCTGGGACTGAATGTGGGAATCATAGTATTGTAGTAACAGGAAGGCAGGCTGCCAGCTTTCTCTCATTAGAGCAACCCTCACCCGACCCTTAGCATGTATGTCTCCGATGAAATATGGAGGCATGGGGGAATAGCCATGTAAGCAGGACAAAGGACAAAAAGAGAGTATATACAATTCACACACAAAAAGTGCATATTTGGATAGATACAGTATGGCAAGTATGAAAATGCCTGTTTTATTTTCCCATTTGTTTACATGTTTAGATGGAAACAAATTTCTTATAATTTCTTACATTCTAAAACACACTGATCCTCAGAATCAATATTTTTCTGTACATTTTTTTCCGATTTAGAAATAGTTTCCATGTAAAAGGCTCTCATAAACTTTAGAAAACGCAATAATGACAAGTTGTAAGTTCCTGAAATTCACATGTGAAATAAGAGTAATGACCTGGCATATCTTAAAATGTTGAGATACACCTCAAGATTTTAAGATAGTCCCGTACAATTCTGAGCAAGTATCTCAAATCGAATTTTTTTCTTTCTATTGGTAGAAATGTGCTTCCTTATCTATATTTTTGAAAGAATGTAGTACTTTCTGTATTGGCGTATGGATATTTAACCCTCTTCAAACGTCTGCAGAGAAACCTCACCCTCTGATTAACAGTGATGAATGGCTAAAGATAGTGAGAGGGACCACTCCGTGGCTCAGCGGAAGCTTTTATCACACTCCTCAGGGGTGGAACTTGTGTTCCATCTGATGTCATCTTGTTGCATTCATCTTAACTGTCTGCCCTTATCTCACCCATTTTATCGCCATCATTTTGTAAAACTTTGCTGCTGCTTGTCCACACAAGTTCTTAACTGATGAACAGATATGCTTGTTCACACATGGACACGCACAGATTTCAATGTAATTATCTGGGTTTTTTTTTTTAGAAAAGGAAGTATTCATCATCACAATTTCCCACTCTCATGCAGGCATAAAATGGCATTGTGTTATCACAGTGATCTATACAGTAGGACACATCTGTCACTAAACTAGGTATGACGTCACAGTGTTACTTCCAGCACTATGTCTGTAGTCTGTAATTATGGGAGTGGCATCAAGTTTATATGCTGAGAGAGGCAAGGCAACACTGGCCCCTAGTGATTTTTGTAAGAATTACAAGCTTTTTTTGCCTTAATAGTTTAAAGGGGAAACTGAGTGGGTCAGAAAGAGTTGTTATTACATAGCCACAGTGTGAGTCAGAAGGGAAGCTAAGTGAATAGTAGATAAAAAAGATTTCTTCACCTGTAGCTTCTGTTTATAGACCTCAGCTGACGACTTCGATTTGTTTTGCTGTACATGGCAGAACACGGCCCATTGCAGTTGTTTAGTCAAAGCTGGGGAAATGTTTCTGTTAAAACTTGGTTGAAAATTAGTTAAATCACAGTGTTATAATGTGTTAAATCACAGTGTTATAATGTCAAGACCTTAAAGTAAAAACCTTAATGACAAAACAAGAAAGAAAAACACCATGCAAAGCTAACAAAAATGACACAATGACCACTCCAAATGTGAAGAAATGTAGACTGAGTTAATGCTGGAAAGAACTTTTGGATAAAATAAGGTGGAATTAGAGAACACTAGAACCTAAGGCAGGAAAAGGGGGCAGATAAAGAACTATCTGCTTGAGCATAAAAATAGCTGTCAAATCCTGTCTTTGGACATCTGATTTTGGCTTCTGTCTGGAAGGTGAATATTTCATGAATAAATGTTCCTTCTCTCCTTACTTTTCTATTTAGACCTTAATCTGGTCACTTTAGACATAAATCCAGATATTGAAATAAATCACCCCCCCACCCACACACACACACATGCACACACACTTCATACTTTCTTAAAGCTAAAACCGTTATAAAAAAGTTGTGGGGTTCTATTGCTATCTATTCTTCCTTTCCCCTATTAAACATTCTATCGACAAGGTTACTTCAGCTTGCCATGTGACAAAGGCTATTGACAGGTACTGCTGACACAGAGAGACTCTGACATATCTTCAATTGTAACACCACATAACTTTCTTTAGTGCACTGTCATGGCATTGATCCTGCTTCCCTCCAACTTCCACCATGGACAAGTATCTGTATAGTATCTGTAAAGTTTGGATAGTTGTAAAGTAATTTGGATGATGTTGTTTACTCAGAGGACTGGGACAGTTGAAGAGAAACACTGTCCCAATGTTTTAAAATGGCTCGTTTCACTTTGAACCTCAGTAAATCCAAGTTTGCTAAAACAACCATCTCATATCTTGGAAAAGATGTAAATCCATGACAGATACACCCCATATCAGCTATGATCAGTGCCATCATTAACTATTCAACTACCACTACCAAACTTCAGCTGCAGCGTTCTCGGGTAGTCGAGTTACAGTATGAGAGAAATTCTCTCTCCCTTTAATGATCTTCTTAGCCCTGCCAAGGAGTTGTTACTGGGCTCCAAGTGAATAGATTTTCAAAGCAGTTAAAGCTTAGTTAAGCAGCTCAGCCATGCGTACTGCCTCCAGTTTTGGAGCTCCATTTAAACCTGATGCTCGTGGTTCAGAGGCTGGAGCAACTCTTAATGGAAAGGACACTGCAGGTATTGACTATTCCGTCTGCAGTTTTGCAAGGCTTCAATGAAATAAGGGGATACACATATTAAATTAAGAGGTGAAGGATAACACTGTATATCAGAACCATTGGTGACAAAACCTAAAACGCAAGATGACAAAAATCTGAATACGTAAAAGCTAATACTGGAAAGGGGAAATCAGATTACAGATGATAAAATCGTACAGGAATGGAATGATGAATCCATTGAGAAACTTTTAACAGGTAACAGAGGGGAAAAAACGTACAGTTTAAGAAACACAGTACTTTTAACTGTATTTGATGTTTATTTACATAAGAGATCTTTTCACAGTTGCTGTGAATTATTTTGTACATTTTCACATATGGTAACACAGTGGAAGTTTTCCTACAGGCCAAAAGAACTAACTACCAAGTGGCCAATTCCTAATAAAGGAATGCTTTTTATTTTTTCATATGGCCACGTTCTTCATGACCAACAACAAGTTATCGATCGGTCATTTTACAGGTTAAGACAATTGCACTTCTAGAAAAGATAAGATGACAGTCAAAAGTTGTTCATTGCCCAAGAACAGACATCAGTCTACTATAAGTGCTACTACATTTTTCTCTTACTGCAGCATGTGTGATGAATTACTTCTTGCACCGCACACAATGATTATGCAAGCAGTCCGACTATCTGCAGGGATTGAGAGTGGCATATGGCAGCGAAGTCTGAGTGTGTGCTTACACACTCTGAGAAGCAGAATTTAGCAAGTACATACTGAAGTAGGAGCAATATCCATACCCCAAGACTGCACAATAATGTGACATCACTAAAAAACAGCAGCTCACCACAAAGCACCAGAATGTACAAAGAGCCAAAGACAGATGTACAGTGGTTTGTAAAAAGTAACCAAAAAAACAAACAAAAAGCAAAAAGACAGGACATCATATGTGCATAAGTTTCCTTAATTTACTTCCCAAAAAGGACAAAATGAGAATAAATGTGACGAGCATCTTAGGTGGACATGCTGGTATGTACCTTTACACTTTTGGGTAAAGATGTGGCACCTGAGAAGGGAAGAGACCATTATTTCTAGAAATGGCAGCCTGCACTGAGAGGTATGACCTGCATGAGGAGGACGTCCCTTTAAACAATCAAATCTAAAAAGTAGCATCAATAACTGGTTCCAGTTACATAACAGAGAGAGAGAGTTTCTTTTTGCTTGAAATCTCTTTACCCCCACCGTGTAACAGTCAGTTCAGATCCCCTTTTCCTTCTCATTTGATCACCCCGTTCGTTGCCCCTTGAAATCATCCCTGTGACCAGAACAAGCATGAATTCATAAACAAGTTCAAAGGAAACATCTGTCTCATTCTTTGTGGAAAAACCTTGCTCACCAAACAACAGGATGCTTATGCCTAAGTGTTCTACTTATTACAAAATGTGCAGTATCGAGAAACTGGTCAGAATCAAATCAACAATTTACCAACATGAGGTATACCGTTTTAATAAAACCCTTAGAAAAAGAGGAATGGAAATATATACAATTACCAAACTAATGATCATCTCTACAGAATGAGATATTTTCTTTCAAACAAAAAGATTGTTCTAGCCAAGAAAAATAAGGTGTACTAAAAAGTTACACATAGTAAAATAGTGGTTAAAAGTGTTAATAGAGCTCCTATAAGGAGAGCATACATCCTTTTGCTGGAGGTAATTTTTCTGCTAATCCCCAAGAAAGTTTTGCTGGCTGCTCTACACTACCCCACTGAGTGTAACACTCAGGAACAAAATCCTCCTGAAATGAGATATCGGAGACAAAGAACACAAAACTGTTCAACAAACTTGACATCATGAATTTTAACTTCATTAAAGTATGTCATTGCATCTTTGCTTAGAAAACTCCAATGTGCAAACCAGGAAGCATTCATTTGAATTTTCTTCACGTGATAAATATCTGTAAGAGCAAACTGGTGCTGCAGATAATTTACTTTCTCCATTACTGGGCAAAAGGGAATTAACAAATAATATTGCAACGCAATAATGACAGAAGCAAAGGGCACAGCTGCAACACACAGCAGTTTGTAAAAGGCCATATTAAGCGAGAGAATACTCCTTAAACTAATTTAAAGAGATTTATTTTTGCCATCGTAACAAACAGCTTGCTAAAACACTACCTAAGGTTAAGGTATTGATTCACTGATCTCTGTCCACCTCATCTCTGTCTGAACATTGTTGTTGAATCCAGCTTTAGAATCAGTATCTGCTTATGCTGAAAGAACAAAAAAATACATATAAAGTCAGTGTCTGGTTGAGAGATGCTTTTTGCTAAGGAAAGTTCATGACCTGAACATAAAGAACCTGTCATGACGCATGCTGACTAAAATCTTCTCAACCAATGAGAAATAGTTTTATTACTTTCTTTAGTGTCTCCTGCACAGGCACACATGAGTCTTCCTTTATGAGGGGAAAGAAGGAATCTTGCCCATTATTCCTTGTAGTCAAAGCAAATTCCATTTCTGTCATGAAGCAGTAATAACATTGGTGACTTCTTCTCTACATGTTTTTAAATAGTCATCCTTGACATGGGAGCAATATTTTATATTTTAACTTGTGTATAGCTTTTCTTCCGTGAAATGTGATATCTACACAGTAAAGCAAGTGGATTTTGTGGATATGACTGGAGCTGCTGTAGTTTCCTGACTTCAGATAAACACCAACACCGAGCACAAGTAAGGTTAGCAATCAGGCTTTGCAAAAATTTTTCTTACCATCTTCCCTTGACCTCATAATGTTTTCCAACAGCTTCGAGGAAAAGTACTGAATAACAGAAGCAATTTTTTTGACTATTCAACTATTATACTCTAGCTCCGGATAAGCTCTGATTAGTCTGAAGAGCAGAGGAAGATTCCTCTAAATCTAGTCATTGCTGAGAAAGACATGGTATGTTGGAATGTTTTTTCTGGACTAGGGACACATACTACCCCCCCCCCCCCCCTTCCAAAATGTGATCGTGCTCTGACTTCACTGATTGCGGCACAAAAATGTGTGGTGTATTAGAGGGATAAGTAGAGGGGAGCAGGAGCACTTTTATTCCCAGCTCACTTTTGATTTTATTTTTATGGACCCTTGAAATGTCTTTCATCAGATAGGATAGTGCAGTGCATGCTTCGCATCATTACTGTATAAACCATTTTTTAAATAATTTCTAAGCAAATATTAAACACTGCAGTTACAGATGGCAAAATCTGATTTTTGCTGATGTGCCAACTCCTCAATGCCCACGTCCCGAAAAGAACTTACAATTAACTTTAGACCAAGGTTTGGTTAAAAAAATCACATTCACTTCTGTCTGTAAATGACTAAGACATGGAAAAACATGTCGGTCTTGTTTGGATATGAAGTACAAACATGGCAAGGCTAAAAAAATAAGTCACTTTGAGGTACCAACATGCACTTTTTGGAGGAAAAAAAAAGCTAACAAGAATGCATGTCAGCTGCTAATGTATGTTAGTTGAACTAAGTTGATGTGTGAATTTGCATGGGTGTGGGTAGAAACACAGGTTAGAAAAGATTTGTCCACTTTACCATTCCTGCAAATGACAGTAGATAACCAACAAGGCTGCATGTCAATGTGGCGGTTTTCTGTTGTTTTTCAAAATCTACAGCTACTTCCAACCTCAGCAAACTTACAAGTGTCGTAGTGGTATCAGTCTTTCTGATGTAAATCACCTAATGGAACCAGCCTAAACGTACTAAAGACCTATACATAACAGCTTCAATTCCAGTTGACTCGGATCAGTGCCAGTCCCTGAAGTTAAATGGGATTCCTTGTTTACATGTGGCCCTGCTTTAGTTCAGCGTCACACTTTGAGGCGTCAGGCGTTTTGCATCGAAACCATCAAATCTGAATCTGTTTAGCAGGGTATAGAACGCTGAAGGGGAACATTAACTTAGAAGTTAGATGAGATTATATGAAATATGAGATGGACAGTCAAATGACATAATTACCAGAATGCAAGAATATACAGTCACTGTCGGACAATTTTTTTTTCAAAAATAGGCTCTTAAGTCAGAAATGTTCATAAAAAGGTGCTAGTTACATTAAAGGAAAAAAAAAACAACGTTGATAACCATCCTGAAAAAAAATGAGGTAGTGATGTCAACAACGAGTAGGGATGCTCCAGTCCCTTCTGTACACTGCTTAAACCAATACTGAGTTCAGACAATTTATGGGTTATAAAAAGGAATCTTACTTATTTGAAAATCCAGGAGCCTGCAAATATGAATTCTTCTCCACTTTTGTAAGTAAATGTTAAAAATTCCAAGTTAGATTGTGTGCATTTGGGGAATTCTGATTTATGTTCGCAAAATGAACACTGAACGTTTTTTTTTTCTCCTGTCAATGAGATGGGAACACACAGGCTTGAAGAGTCAACCATAAATGAAAAATCGGAATAAACATTTCATACCAAAAATCATCATGATCAAGATCTGGCTTCAGCTGATGACACTGTGATACATTCTTACTTGGGAGTCAAAGGAGGAGAGTGTTCTCAGAGAATTGTATGTAAATTATGTCAAAATACTTGTTCTCCCACCAACGTAACTGAACCAACTACTTTAATTTAAAAGGAGATACAGCAGGGTATAAGAAAAAAAATATTGATTAAAAATCAGGTCAACTGGACAAATGGCATTTTAGAAAAGAAAATAAATTACATGTAGCAAATATTATTCCTTTCTAAACTTTTTTTGTTGTGTCTACAAGTTTTGAACTATAGAGAGGTTACAAATGCACCTAGAATAATTAGGCACCTGAGACCCCACACTCCAGTTAGAAAATGTGTGTTAATGCGTTTATGCATGACCGGAATTAGGTATGATATCTCAGTGTGTGTGTGTGTTTGTGTGTGTATGGACCCTGAGACATCAGGAGGCTGGAGAGAGACACAGGTGTTCAGCAATCTCACAATGTGCACATACTCTTTAAGGCGTATTCCTCAGTGCCACACTATAGAAGCATTAGGAGAACTTCCCATTCCTATCCAATCACTATCAACCACAACTTGTCCAAGAGCCTGCTCACTTCCTGAGTGGAGCATGTGCAACACAGTGGGGATAGCCTTCTCCAATCCACTTCCATCTGCTTGGTTATGTTAAATATTCCTTTTCATCCCAACAAAAAAGAAAGACACTGAATGAAAAAGTACAACTACTATGATCAAGAACAAGTAAATTGTTATGTTCCTCTAACAATAGGCTGTATATGTTTAGTGTATTTGCACACATGAAATGAACGGTCCAAAGTCCCGATAAAACTTGCAAGGATAAGAAAGCGATCCAATGATGACAAGTATAAAAAAATTACACAAAGGGATTCTTTCAGAGGTGAAGTCTGAAGTGTTCATGTGTGGCTGAAACCCTACATGGAGAGGCTATGGGCACAGATATGAGTGTGCTGCTGAGGTAGAGTGGACAAAGCCAGAACTGACAAACGGGGCGGGGGACAGTCCAGCAGAAATGGCTTTCCCTGGTGCTGATGAGCAATGTCTAGAATCCCCATTTTCCAGATGCTCTGAAGTCAAAACAGACCTCACACTTGTGGGAGAATGGAAGCCATTGATTAACCCCGTGCCCTGCTGTGGTTCTGAGCCTCCGGTCGGCTGATGACCTGTGACCTCTGTCTCCCCATTGTGATTAGCCAACAGTGTCCTCAGGGGAAGACTCGAGGGACTTTCAGTCCGTGTATCTTTTTCTGGGGGTTCCTTCTCTCCAGGGGAATTAGGATGACCCACAGCGGAATAGGTGTCCTCTGATAATGAGGGTCCCCTGGTGGTGTTAGAACCACTCTCACTGCCCTCATCTTCGTTTTCTCCGCCGGTGTCTGACAGCTCAGAGTGAACAATGACTTCTGCCTCAACCTGGTTACTGCAAAAGGATGTGCACAGGCGGTCATCTATTTCCTGCAACAAACAATGTCACTGTTATTTGTGGCATTTTAAAAATAGCTCAAAATACGGCTGAAACTACGCGTTTCAGACATATCCTTGGAGCAAGTGCAAGCATCAGGAAACAATATTTTCATTATTATCATCGTTACTGTCTGTAGGCCTCAAATGTTACTATGGTTGGCTTATTAGCTTATGGCCTGCTTTAGCAGACAACCAAATAGATTCAATCACTAGATCAAAATAATGGCCACCTTATTACTGCTAAATCTAATTGGCAGCACAAGAGCTGTATTCATCATCTTCCTCATAGTTTATCAGTGGTTGCGTAACCTCATTTCAACCTTTCACGGTAGACCTTAGAACAGTATGATGAGGCGTAGCAATGGAACCTTGATACACACAGGTGTCATGGAATAGGCTTGTGATCTTGACAAATTTAAAAGTCAGATCTTGGTATTAGTAGTTCAGTTGGCTTGCAAATAAACTCTGCCAGCAACAATCAGAGGAATGGATGGATGTTAGCCAAGCATTCAAAGCCATTTCCCCTTGCCTCTTTCTAAAATTGGCTGCTCTTGGGTTAGAAGTGACACTAAAGTTAAACATTAAATCAACAAATAGTGGTTTTGAATTATAGGTGTGAGATAGGAGGAAGTGACTGCAGTGAGCAAGAACTAAACTATTAGGAATTTAATTTGAGCACAGCCGAGTTACCATATTATGATAAAATAATTAACTTTTGTAAACTTAAATATTGTTACTTAAATAAAACTGAAAAGAAATAATGTTGAATTAAGCATGCTGCCATTAACTGGTTTGGGGTCATTAGATGCTAATATACACTACCTTAAACACAGATAACAGACATGTTAGAGAAATAAGTAACACAATTGTAAAAGTATGCCTAACAGGAAATGTTTGACCAATACAAAGAGACAGTAATGAATTGTATTATGTTCCGTTACTTACCACGCCAGCAGCAGTAATAAGCATGTTGAGTCCTCCATTATTCAATGTTGGAGAGTCTTCTGTTATAGTGTCTCTGTATCTTGTGATTCTGTTGACCCAGTTATGACTCACAGAGCCATTCCAAGCAGCCTGTAAGATAAGCAGTATAATGGAAACATTGAAATGAGAATTATTAACCCTGTGATGAATAGAAAAAAAAAAAAATCACTGGCACATCTGGAAATGAGAAGCCCACTCGCAGGTTTCGACCTTGGGTTCAGGTGCAGAGGCATCTTCTCCATCTCCTGGATTAGCACTTGGCATCAGGCTCTGTTCCTCTGGGGGTTCGGCTGGCAGCTGACCAGACTCTTGGATGCCTGAGGGCATCAATGTTTCCAGCTCATAGCTATCATTGCAATCTGGCACGCTGACTGGAACAGAGCAGCCATCTCTCCTGTATTGAGGCGTCGCAGCTGCCGAATTCAGACTTCCAGATATCTCCCTGTTTGAGACGGCAATTACAGAGATGGAAATGAAGGCTGAGATTAAAAAAGCCTCAACATAAGTGATGCAGTAAAAGTAAAAAAAGGCTACAAGCACTGGAAGGAAGATTTATAAAATGCACACCATGTGGGTTCTGACAGTCTTACACTCAATAGTCAACAAACCTGGACTTGCTGTTGCGAAAGCTGAAACACATGCAGAGGAGGATACATATCAGTCCCAAACACACACCGACTATGATGCCTGTCACTGCATGGACATCCAACTCTGTGAAAATAACATAGAAGAGGATATATATGTATATATACATTTGCAAAAGGACTGCTAGAATGTGCTGATAACAGTTTGTGAGATAACATTATAGGAGAGAGAAACCCTTCATTAGTGTGTATTTATTCATACAGGGTGTCTTTTGCAATGCCGTTTAGGAGAAGAGAGAAAACAGATGGCAGGAACTACCACCTATCCACCCACCCACCCACCCGCAACAGTGCCATTAACACTTCTTACTGGCAACACTATCACAGCACATTTGAAAAAATAAACTGTTACAATAAATATATATATATAAATAAATAAGAGGAGAGAGGGAACAATTTGGCTACTGAAATGCAGCTACACAACAAACAGCTAAGGTGCAAATGACAAAGATATTTATGGGGAGCTCTATATTAAGACTAAATCAGTATGAAATGATTAATGTTTAAACAAAATATTTGCACACTCAATAGAGTTTAACAAGCTTTTATTTCACAAACTTGAGCAGTCATCTTATTGCCTACTTCAGTATTAGTCAAAATGATCAGTCAATTCATACATACCATACTTTGGAAGTGGTGTTTGGATATCCCTTACAGCTGAATAGGGGCCTGGCCCCACTTCATTAGAAGCTCTCAACTTAAAAAAGTATCGAGTGCCACCACATAAGCCGTGGATCTCCACACTGGTAACACTCCCTGATAAGACAGAGTGGTGATACAGCTTTTCAGCAGTTTCAAACACTGTACACCTATGTTACGTGCATCATTGACACAAAATACACAAAATACAAAAATCTGATCTTGGCTGATGTTGACTTGGACTCACCATCCTGAGAGAGGTTTTTCCACGCTTGTTCGGGCTCACTGAGGTTGCCACTGTACAAAATAGTGTAGCTGGTAATGATTCCATTTGGCTCCAGAGGGGGGTGCCAACTCACCAGCACTAAGGAGGAAGCCAGCGCGTTCAGCTGCAGTTTTTCAGGAGGTGTGGAAGGCCCTGGGGAAAAGAGAGACCGTGTCAGTAATTAGAGGAAAGAAATAAGGCATTACAGCTGGGTTGTCTCGATGGGGGATTTGACATGCTGCATCACACCCTCTGTATCCTTATAACCCTGCCACCTGGTGGAGGGGAGGGGGGAACGGCCATGGGCTCAGGTGATGACATAAGGTGATGGGGTGAGCCGCAGTAATAATGCCATTAAAAACCACCAACCAATCAGGACTGAGGAAAACAGGCCTGCTGGCGAGAATAAGTCTCTGCTACACCTGGGTGCTTTATTTGAGCCTTATCAGGACTTGCTGCCAACCACTAATTCCCATGTTCGCTGGCCACAGGCCAGCCAACACAGTGGTTTACACATGAGTGAACACATTATCACATCACCTACCTGCAAGCACAAGTAAATAATCACTGGTATAACTCTGCAACTAGATGCTCCATAAGGTTTTTTTAATAAAAGAATCCCTCCTTCTAACTCCGCCTCCTGTATACATCCCCATCATAATGTTATAACGTCATTACATAATGTGTGACATTTTGATCTGTCAAATTAAAATCATATATTATATATAGTATTTGTCACATATGTTTTGCTGCAAGCTCTCCGGTATAGCCGTTCTTCCGTTTGGTTCTTTGTGCAAGGAGCCCAAAAAAAACTAAATCGGCTGTATTCATTTATCAACTTCAAGTGAGTAAAAAAACACACTTGAATTTCACACTTCAAGAGAATTATCCAATGTATGGGTGTAAGAAATAGTATTCCTTGAAATAAAAAATTGCTGACTGGGTGGACACTTACGGTCAGAGAGAGTGGACTGCTCCACGGTGCCACTGAAGGGTCCGACCACGTCCACTCCATTAGACTGCACGGCCAGCTCGTAACGGGTGAAAGGCTTCAGTCCCCCGAGCAAGATCTCCTGAGCAGGACTGCCACACAAACACACCACAGTTCTGCGTGAGGGGCGCACGGTTCATATATTCTGCTCTGAAAATGTTGTTATGCTGTTGGCTTTGGATGGCATTACATGTTATAGCGAGCAGTAAAAAAGCAAAAAAAACAAAAGCCAATTTTAAGGGCAATAATTTCACATGGGCCAATACTGGTGAACTGAGAGCATACAGAAAAAAAGGTGGAATAGAGAGAGTAAAGTTTCTTTAGCAAAACTAATCCCTTAAAACATTATTTGCCTCAAAGCACTGACGTTTTACCTCTAAAGAAGTACAGACAAAAGCCTCAAAGATTTTGAATAAAAAAACTCGTTCAATGGGGGTCTTTCTGAACAGTACAGATGTTGATCATCTTATGTTAACTAAAGCCAGACATTTATCCTGAAATTCTGACCTGGTGTGGTAGGATACCAGGGATGCGTTGGTGGTCCCTGCGGGGCTGCAGCGCACCGTGTAGTTGATAATGCGCACGTTGCTGAACCTCGGTTTCTCCCAGCGCAGCCAGATGGAGGAGGAACTGTTGGCCTTGGCTTGAATGCTGCTCGGGGGCATTGGAGGTGGGTGCATGGGTGGCAGCAATGCTGTGACATATTAAAACGTTACTTTTCCTTAATCCGTCGTTCTATTTATAAATGCATGTGAGATAATTGGATAATTTGTGCACACACACTTGCAGAAAGAACTCTTACCTCTATCATGGATCTTCTCCGTCCTTCCCTTCCACACCATCGCAGCTCCATCTATCTGTTTGTTAAATGCCCACACCCTCACCTCATACGGTTGGTCAGGGACTAACACAAAAACAAACATAAAAGGGGAATGTAACACAAGGATTTTCATTTCTCCGATTTCTATAAGCCTTTTTACTGATATTCTAAATGCCTAAAATGGACAACATACTGGTACATCAACCAATTGCCTACATAAAAGTAGCTAGTATTTTATAAGAAATCTTTTTAAATCTTTCTTTGATTGCTTTTCAAACTAGTTAGATTGACAGAGGGAAAACAGCATTTCGCTTTCTTTTTATTACTTACCAAGTCCGGTGAGTAGATGATACCTAGGCTTTTTACGCAGCCTTATGGTATGCGTGTGTTTTGCTCTTCCTCGGCTGGCTGATTCGTCCGCGTCCACCTCTCGATATGAGAGTTTGTAACCAGAGACCAGCGTATGATTGGGCGAGGGGTGCCATGTCACGTTTAGAGTGTTCACTCTGGCTCTGACCTTCAACTCAGTGGGTGCAAAGATCACTGAAAAATATTGTGAAAGAAAAAATGTGACTGGGTCTTATTCACACACAAATCTATCGGCATCTTTAAAACATTTTGTTGCGGTATGACAGATTTTTTTACAAATATTCTGAAGGCATGTAGTTATCTATGCAAGTTTTAATATGTGGAATCAGATGTGTATTATCAAAGTGAAAGCTAAGTCTTTGGATTAAGTCCATAAATTTGGGGAAGTTTGTGTAAAAACATTTGCATTTGAGGTGAGACAAAAAAAAAAGATTTGAGCAGCATGTCGTAGACCCAAAAACATATTTTTCTAGAAAATGAAATAGCTTTGAAGAAATTTGGAAATGGTGGAATCTTGCAATGGGATAAACACTGATGCAACACTTCACCAGATGGATCAAAGATAGAGAAAAAGATAAGCAAATCTGAGTCAAACCACCTTTTCTCAAAACTTAATGTCCACAAATGGCAGGAAGTGTAGACAATGAAAATCTATAAGCATACAGCAGAACATGGAAAGACAAAATTTAAGCTTACAACAAGGTCTGAGACAATCAAACAAAACTTGTGATTTGGTCATTTACAAGGGGGTTGTATTTCTACAGAGGGAATTAATAACCAACTGAAACTTCAACACCAGAAAAACAGAAAGGGAGACCAAATTCTAGAAACATTGCAAAAATCAGAATAAGAACACAGGTGATAGAACATATAAGACAGCCCAGCATCAACCTAACTTAGATGAACACGGATAAATGGGAATCCAAGGAACTAATAACACAGCAACAACTTAAAAGCTTAACTAAAGACCACGGGTGAGGTGAGGTTAAGGGGAAGGTTTACATTAATAAAGGCGATCAACGAAAGGGTGCCACCACGGATTCAAAGCTAATTCTGGTCCTGAAGCCAATTCTGTATCTTATGATAAGATAAGAATGTGCATGCTCAACAGTCTGTACCATCACTGCATTGGGCAAATCTGGATGGAATTAGTCTTTGGGTTAAGTTACCAGTGAGCCTGTTTATAGAGTTTTCCTTACCCATGCTGTGGTCACTGTGGTTGTAGTGGGCTAGTGTCTGGTGCTGGACCCACTCAGAGAAAACGCCGAAGCCCACGCTGGTTCCTGCTGCTATCCTGAGTCGGTACACTCGATTGGGCTGCAGCTCTCTCAAGGTGAACTGAGTTGCATTTCCCTTCACCTCCACCGAGAATACATTGTCTGCTACAGAGCACAGAGAACATTTATCTATGTACACAAATAGTTTTACAAGTATCTAGCTTTACTAGTTGTTATATGGGCTTTTTAAACGAGAAGCTGCAAGACTTACAAATTCCATGTAAATGATGATTCAGCAATGATTTGTAACACAAATGGGCTGTTTGTGCATTTATTAATTCGTTTCAGCAACAACTTATGATAAATGCCCCACTGTGAGTATGTTATGCATTCCAGAGAGGGCGTTAATCAGAGCAGCTATTTCCTCTCTGCATATCATTTAAGAAAATCAATTGAACAGTGTCAAAGCAGTTTCTAAGTTTCTGTGAGGCACTCATTTTGGATTAAAACTATGAAAATAACACTGCCAGTCCTTATAATTAATATCCTGAGATAAAACTGTAAACAAACAACAAAATTAATCAAATTTATGTGAATAAATGCTTTGCTAGTGTAAAGACATCAATGAAATGGACGTGCAGAATTGTTTTCTTTAGCCCTGGTCAGTGGTAGGTTCTCACCCTGATCCAGCCTGCTGTACTCAATGCGGTAGCGGGTAACAGCTCCATGACTGTGCTGCGAGGACAGCGGATGCCACATCAGACGAATGTCAGAGGGGGACGTGCTGGCTATGGACAGTTGTGGGGGAGCGCTCGGCACTGCATGAAAAAGTTAAGTTACAAAAGGTCTGCACAGTAACTGGGTAGTTGTTAACAGTGCAGTTTATTTTAGATTATCATTCACCAAAATAATATTTCCTTAAATAATATATCACAGCCTGCTGATTACAAAAAAAGCTAATCAAGATTTAAAATATAACTAGTAACAAAAGACTCATTTGAGTCTCCAGTGAGTCAGAACTACTTCTTTTTCAGTGACTACACTGACAGCGATGACTCACAAGCTCCATGGAGTTTTATTTTTTTAAATCTAATTACATTAAATCTGTGCAACAATTTGTTCTCTCACCATCCTCCAGCATCTTGACAGTGATAGGAAGGGATGGGGGACTGGCACCCATGGGAGAGTAGGCCACCACAAAGAAAGTGTAAGCAGTGTGAGGGAGAAGCTCTTTGACCAGATACTCTGTGGTGTCACTGTTCACCGCAAACTGATACTCCACATTGTCAGTACCTGCAAAGCATGGAAATATTTACATAATAGGCTGTAGAGTCTTTTTTAGTGAAGGTCACTACAACAGATGGACTCGCACCCTCCTGAAAGAGACTGACCTGCAGTGCGCTGGTAGTGCACGGAGTAGCCGATGATTTGGTCCGAGTTGTTCTCGGGTTTCTCCCAGGTGAGCAGGGCGGTTGTGCTGGAGTAAGGGGTGGTAAAGAGATGGTGGGGAGGGCTGGGCAGACCTTCCCTCACGATGACGGTCAGCTTGGCAGTGGCACAGGCCGTACCGAGACCGTTGTTAGCGATGCACTGGTAGTAGCCCCCGTCCGGCAGAGCCAGCTGGTTGATGATCAGGACTCCTGGGCTTTGCGTCTTCATTCTTCTGAATGACTTGATGGGCTTGCCATTCTTCAGCCAGAGCAGTACTGGCGGGGGTTCCCCTGAGCTGTTACACACAAACCTGGCAGTGTTTCCCCGGGATAGGGACACTGTCTCTGGTGGCTGAATAATCACTGGAGGGGCTAATGAGAGTGGGAAGTAAAACTTAAATTAATCAGGTGTAGTACTTTTTTCATTTCTGCCTCAAATGACAATTTTTCAAAAATATCACACCTATCATTTGACATCACTGGCTACATGTTGATTTTCAGACGTATGCAAAGAAACATCTTCTGAGCTACCCCTGAGACAATTTGTAAGTAATTTAATGGCACACAGACACATTCATCCCCAAATAATTGTATCTTTCTATGCCACAAATGCACTCGTAAAGCAAATCTGAGGCAAGCATTTTGAAAAGCCACAAAGATTAAATATGAATCCAGCATGCTGTCATAATACAGCCCTTACCACGCACATGAAGCTCAGCAGAAGCATCAACAAACTCTCTGGTCTTAGGCTTGTTGGCTCGGCAGATGTAGACGCCAGCATGGTGACGCCTTGTGTCCCTGATCACAAGGTTTGTTGCGAAAACAACCACATCAGTGGAAATGGGCTTTCCATCTGATCAAAGGAGAAAGCAATATGGTGCATAAGAGAAAGCTACCAGATCATATAGGTAGAAAAAAAAAAAGACAGGCAACCTTGAGAAGTGAGGAAATCATTTCTCAGCATTTCAAATGTCTGAGAAACGGCACAAAAGGCAGAGACAGCGGCTGATAAGATGTGTAGTCTCAGACTGACCAGCAGGGAGCTCTGTAACATTTCACTCTGGTTTCACAGACATTTGTTCAAGCATACTCTCAGGCTGTGAAGGAAATCATTTACTATTCACATTATAGAACACTATTTAGTCTGTCTGCCATTTTGTGGTGTGAGGATTTTCTAATCATGACAGGCGCATTGCCAAAAAAAAATCGGTTTGGAAAAGAGCTGCTCAAATTTCAAGGACCAACTATCGCTGTCAGTCATGAGTGAGATCATGGAACTACAACAGTAGAAAAATAATAACAGGCTCAAACAGTTCCTCTACGGTGGTATGCGACTGTGAAAGTATTTGACCCGCAGTATAGATAATAGCACAAGTTAATTACTTTTTCAAAAAATATCATTTCCACAAATTCTTTTAAAGAATGTGTGTATGTGTTTATGTTTCAAAGCTACAATCACACCTAGGTCTCTATAAAAAAAAAAGAAAAAGGAGAAAAGCTATTTTCAGTTCAACAACATCTGTACAAATATCTCACTCACTCAGTGTTTTTAAGAAGAGTGCGATGAGGATTATGAAGGTGTAACATGAATAAAGGGGGAAATATCACAGAAAAAGAAGCAAAAAAAATGTTTGAGCATTTGTGAGTCTTACCTTTTCTGCTCCATGAAACCAGAGGCTTAGGGTTACCCTGGGCCATACATTCCATGACAGCAGGATGGCCGAGCACGACCGTGGCATTCTGAGGTGGCGCAACAATCAAAACTTGGTTCTTGGCATGATGTGAGCCTTTATGGATGAGATAGGAATATCCTTTAAAGTTCAATGTAGACGCAAGACTAACAGCAAAACCTCAATGTAGAAACCTCAAAACTTTATTTTAAAACTGGAACAGCAGACCTGTATTCTTCATGAAATTTGCAATTAAACAGGATTTACAGAGGATCTGTGTGGGTTTTTAATAGAACTGCTCCCAAATCAGACACAAATAACTTAATAATGAAAACATAGCATCAAGTTGGCTTAAATTGTAATTCATGCAAAACCTGTCAATGGTTATTAGAGGGTGATCGTGAATAACTGAATCTATTAGAAAATATTGATTGTAGGAACCCGATGTGTGGACATTTGTGAGGCAACAGAGGGGAAGCCCCTAAATCAATATTATTTACGGCCAGAGCTACACATTGGCACAGTGCAAAACCAGGAGTCAGACATAATCTAAAAGACTGCTTGAAGTGGGCAACAGTCACTGAAAGTGTGTCTGTATTTCTTAGATAAAAACACACTTCATCATACAAGGGGGCATCTGAGAGGTAAAGCAAGATAAAATAGAAGAAATTGTGATTTTGTGAGACGTTAATCTAATCTACAATGTTATTTTACTGAATGAGACATACCTCTCTCAGTCACAAAGAGTGTTATTCAAAGTTTATTTTTATTAAGTAGGCAGTCATTTCTTGAGTGTGTATCACTGGTGTGAGTGACAGAGCCCTCATCAGCTTACAATGCAAATAATGTCAGTAAAGTGGCCTGGCAATCTATAAACACATCATAAATGAATCATTGAGATGGCATACATTAAATCCTTATAAGGCTTCAAGTGGTTAGTCTGCGTTACACTGGATTTTCAAAATGCGATGGGAAGGTTGGTGGTGCATGCTATTCAAAACCAAGCAACAGACCTCACCTATAGTGACGGTGAGCATGGCTTCATCACTCATATCCCTCCTTACAGAATTGGATGCAACACAGCGGTAGGCTCCTTCATCCTTTTTGGTCACCTCCAGAATCTGCAGCACCCCGTTAGGAAGGGAAATGAACCTGTTGTACACAGAGAAAAAAACAGAACACAGCCTGAGAATCCAAGAATTCATGTTATAGCTCTTGTTTGCCCATGCTTATATGAGTCTATGCATACAAGTGGCTGATATTTCTTTCTAGTATGAGTCATTGCCTTTATTACATTATCCAAACACAACTATTACCATTGGTCGGAGAAAACCGAGAAGAGGTTGAGAGAAGATGGAACAAAGGAGACAATAAATCTGACAGACAGTGGATGAGAAAACAACAAGAGAAAGTCGGCAGTCCATGAATGAGAGAGAAAATAAGGTTCAATGTCAACAGAATTAGACAGACTGGAGATGATGACAAAGATGAGAGTATGATCAAGAAAACGACCCATTAAAGCAGGTAAAAATGAAAGGGGAAAAGCCAGCTATGCAGTAGCCTTTCTCTGACTGATTTTAATGCCATTAAAAGCCTGCGGATAGAGAACCATATCCCACTATTAAGAACTTTGAAGCAGCAAGCTGTCTGCAGGCCATACTGGCTACAGCAGCCATTAGTTCTGCACAATAAAATTGGAAGCAAATTCTGGAGCCAAAAGGGCCATGGCAAAATGTCAATATTGGTAATAGCCCAGTAAATGTGAATATTTATGAGACAGATCTGATGAAGAAAGACTTTTTAAGGATGTAACTAATTATGTACAATTATTTGTTCTAAGGCTATTACTGTTTTACTGTCCTTTCTTTAAGCACACTTGAAATCCTGAAATTCTACTTTAAAATTTGCTCTGCTGTTTGACTTCATCCAGTCAACTCAAATTATAAGATAAGATAATAGTGAGATACACTTGATATAATGGCTCATTCATTAAATACAAACCAGTGTCATTAAGGATTTCAAATAATAAATTAACTTTTATATTGTAAACTCCATCTACTGATAGCATGTGTAAGAAAATTAAGAAATTTGCAATCTAGTGGCATTGTCATGTTTAACATTTAACTTTACTGCCTTAATATCATCTTATAAGATAAATATCATTTTAGACAGGTTTTCAATTTGCTTTAAAAAGCAGTCAATTTTCAGGCTTATTCAGATTGATTCAGTGGTACTGGAAGTCTTGAATGCTTAAAACCCAAAGATCCAAACTGAAGGCCTTAATATGCCTCACTGTGAGTGATAGTTCTATTCAGATGTTTAAGGGGAGCTTCCAGTAGAATTTGGGCATTCATCTGAATGCTTCACAAAAATATTCGAACACTTTAAGATGACAAACCACAGTAAACCAGCAACATAGAACATAGAGGGGCTACCTTGTTTCATCAGGGACCGTCACTTTGTCCTTTTCCCAGGTTATAACAGGTGTAGGTACTCCTTCAATCTGACATTCAAAGCGTGCAGCTCCCCCAGTGGGCGCTGTTTGTGGTGAGGGCTCCTGAAGGAATCTGGATAGACCTGAGGATTGAAAATTATTAAGAGCAACAGGTTAGTAATCAAAGCAGAATGTCCTCAGGGAAAGACTTGTCAAACAGCCAAAACTGATCTGATCCACTATCTGTTGATGAGATGAACAGATACAGTTTGTTTGATGAGGGTCACGTGATGTGACAGACCGTTTATTTATTTTGATTTATCGATCCGCTATTGATCCACAGCTCCTTTTTCATTAGAGTTTGAATGGATTGCATTTCAGCATATACCAAGTACATTAAATCATGGGTTATATAACAAAGGGGATCAAGAACAAAATTGTGATTTTCTCAGTTATTGTTGTCTCAAGTTTTATTCAGTTCAAACAGAACTGATCATACCAATTACATCATTCACAGTACTTGTCTTTGTAAAATTCTATTTCATTTTAGGCTTTTTGCATTATTGAAATAGCAGAATAATAACAATATTAAATGTTTTGTAATTAAATCCAAAGAACTTGGGTAAATTTAAACTTTACTCAAGCTCTTAAGACAACCTTGACTTGGATGAATGAAAATCTACACCAACCGATCTAATTACATCCTCATTCAGAGCACAAATAGAATTCACATATCTTAATTTAGCAAAAAATTTAGATTTATTACTTTCTCCAGGTGAACGTGTAGAAAAACAACAAGGAAAACATTGACATAATGCTAAGCACCAGAGGGCAGCAGGGAGTGGTGTCTAAGGGGCCTCTAACCTCTGACCCTAGCAGGCTGTAGGAAAAGAGAACAAAACAAACTGACTGTTCCAGCCAATCTGCCCCTAGCCCTGTCTGAGAAGCTGAGAGTGGGGGGTGGATGAAAGGAAGATAGAAAAGGCAGCCAAAGGCAAGGGAAAAATGCTTAAAGATAATAGAAAGCAAATAGGCTGAAATGGTGCAACTAGACACGTAAATACAAGGCACAGTTACACACACCCTCAGAAAATAATGCATCTAATTGTACCTTTAGGGGTCCAAAGACTTGTCTCTGGGGTAAACCCCTTACATTCTTGCTGTTGTATCCTTGTAGTTTCTTCACTTACAACTGGGGAACATAAGTGTACCATTCAGGGCCTCTAAAAGTACAAATATGTACCTCCGGTGGAGTTATGTGCCGTTAAAAACAAATAAGACGAGAATGTACCTCGGGGGACATGAATGTACTCTGAGCGTGCCCTTATTTTTGACAGTGTGTCTCACAATTGATTGCATAACAGTGGAATGTAACAATGAACAGCTGAGAAGCAAAGACATCCAGCGGTTATGATTCGAACTGCTTTTTTCTCTCACAGCTTTTTCATGTGAACATAACACATAACTAATTCAGACCAGATTCAAGCGGCCTGAAAATGTTTTGGGCTTATTCAACAGGAATGGGAATATTAGTGTAAAATGTTGAATTTTCGTTTTGCACATCTTGTCCGACAGTCTCTTTATCTGGACCCACATACGAGACATTGAACAGATTACCCGAGTTTATTCTGTGTCAAACCAAATGATTCTGATGCCTTCAGCCTTTTGCTGTAAAAAACAAACATATTAGCACATATGCAAATCCACATTTACCCCATGATTTGATCGAGTACACGCCTTGATGCTTGTAGACAGGCTTTTCTTGTGTTTACATTATTGGACCAGTGTGTGATTTTGGTCTGTGGATGTGTGCACGTGGGGGTGAATGACAGCTGATAAGCGAGAGTGCACAGTCTGTAAACGCAACAAGGGGGTTGGGGATGAGTTCAAAGAAAACACTTTGCCCATGCTGTGATGGGACAATGCCGTCTGGCTGAGCCTACGCCTCTGCACTTTCAAAGTATAATTATAATAGTCTCTCCTAGGGCTCGGTGAGGGTCCCCAGACTCACGGTGACATTCCGTGGCAGATCCATCCGGAACCATGTAGATCGCCCTCTCAGACGCTGAGAACCTGACACCATTCTCGCTCAAGACGACACACAGGGCAATTTTTCATCATCATACTCTCATCTAAAGGTGACATGCCAAGACACAGGAAACAAAGAAAATGTTCAATTGTTTCCTAGCAACGGGGTCTTTCTGTGTCGAAGAATATCAGGCAGCTCCTTTGGCACTTATCTATATAAAGATTAACCCTTCAATGGGATTTTCAAGAACTCTCCATTTGGCGTTTCTGTGTTCCTTCTCTCTTTCTAAATTTCTTTCCAGCCTTTGACTTTCCCCTGACTTTTTCTCTCTTTGTCTGTCCCTCAGTCTGTGCCCCACTCTTTGGCCCCACAGCTATCAGATTGCAGTGTTTTTCCCCTCCCCTTTTGCAGGCAGATAATTCCCCCCATGACCTCTTTGCTACCCAGTTCTAAAACTGAGTAACATTGTGAAAGCTCATCGAGCATGCCCCCTACCTCAACAGATGTTAAGAGCAACTACTGGCGAACATGTTGCTTTGACACACATGCAGGAATTCCCCCTCATCACCAACAAAATGTTGCTGTGTTCAAAGTTTCGACCTAGAAGTGTTCTCATAGATAGATTTAAAAAATGCTTCTCACTCCAAAAAGCTCTTTAATGCCTTTTCTACATTATTTTGCCACTGGATAAAAACAGTGCTAAATTGTGAGGGGAAAAAGAAAGTTGCGTGGGCTTACCTAAATGGTTTGCCAAAGCTCGTAAGAATTAAAATATGTGGCATTTTCATCAGGTGACACATGATAAGAAAGGTTAATGATTATAGCAAACATTAAAGACTGCTTTTAAACATAATATATCTTTAAATGTAACAAGCTCAGTCTGTGACAGTTATTTTTCTAAAGGAGATGCGCAGTGAAAAACAGAAGGTCAATCTATAGAAAAGCATTCAGAGAGGAAGAACTTTTCTTTGGCTGTCTCTCTGCCTTTCAGGCACATGCATCATATGTATATTGCAACAGTGAGAAACTAGAGCAGGTGGCTTTCTAATGTGTTTTCACAGATGTGATGTCTGAAGTGGTCTCTCTTCAGCCTCATCCCTGTGTTTAAAGAAAAAGGGGGAAATGAGCATATCCTCTTAAAATCAGTGTTAAGGCTGTTTGGCTGCAGCATTTTTCACAGTGTTACATATCATTTATAGTCTTCTCTGATTAGATTAAAGAAACTGCACTCACATAGACACTGAGAAAGCACACACCCAAACGGAAGGTCGGAAACACTTTTCACTATCACCACATACTCTCTTCAGCCTTTTCTGTCTCCCACCATTTATCTAACACCCTCTCCCCTTTAGTCCTCATTGTCCCCCAAACAAGAGAACCTCATAAATAGGCATGTGACAACCAATAAAAGAAGGCCCGTCCACCCAGGATACAGTCTCATCTTACACAAAGCTAACAACTATATAAAGACCACTACTTAGGAGTGTGTGTGAAAGGAGCCTCTTCAGTGTGGGCATTTAAAAAACCTCAACCTGCCCTCTCATCCTCATACCACCACAATACACCAGGATCACTTGCACACAAATGCCTCTGATTTGCTGATACAGTGTGTCCACACAATGTTCTAGAGAATTCTCTTGAGGTGGTTGGTAAAAATCTTACCATAGAACCCAGAGTGAATGTTGTGCACATTTAGATATGAAGCTACTACCTGCAGCCAGCTACTGTAGCTTTGCATTATGAAAACAAAAAACTGTTAACATGGCTTGTTCCTAAGGTACCCCTGATAAATGAAGTGGCATGCATTTTTACTGTAAAGAAAGAGTACCTTGACATTTCCAAATGGAAAAATCAACTAATTAGACCAAAACAATGGAGCATTTTACTTTTCCTTCATATAATTACAATTGCCTGCTTTCAAACAGTTAAAGTTTATTTTAAATGCAAATGTAACATTTTGTATCATAAATATGATACTTAAATAGAAATGGCAGAAAATCTTTCTCTTGTGGTTTTGTAGAAGGATGGTAGAATCTCAAACAACTCTTTTTTAAAAGACTATGTAAAGATACATTTTTGTGTTTTGTGGTATGTAACTCTTAGATTTTGTTGTAGAATACTGTACACAGACATCTTTGCAATTTGGCCCATACTGAATAAAAATGTTGCAACTGTTCACTATTTAGTAGATGCTATGTAATGTCAGAGAGATAATGAATCGTGCTGAAGTGCTTCTGTCTGTATTCAGAGGGTTATAAAGAGTTTCTGGCATTATGGAAACTATGCAGACATTTTGTGTATATTTTGTGTACATTTCGTCTCCTCTGGTCTCAGTTGCTAACCCTGAGAGTGCCTAGAACTGTGTGGGAAGTTCTCTACGAAACAATTACAGGAGGAAAAAAGGAATTACTATGATTTCAGACACTTTCACTTCAGACATAGAAATAACACTTTCTTTATTTCAACATGCCGACGTGCTGATTACTCAGGTGATTTTTCAATTATGTTGCTATGGCATTTGAATTTAATGTCATGTCTATTTAATTTATCTTGAGAATACAGAAATAAGAAAAAGACTAGGAGGGAGTGAACGCCATTCACTGTCATAATATGTTATTCATGTTGAATCAGAGAGTGACCTTAAATTAATATCTAATCTACAGCTGGCCCGTTATCCACAGTTATTATTAAAAAACAGTAGATGTGATGCATTATATCTGTTTGACTGGCAGTGGCCTTCCTGTTCAGCATGTCCTGTGCAGCCACAGTTGGCTCCAAGGGGCTCAGTGGCACATGTGACATAATTTTGTCATATCTCTGTCAACCATAGTTAGTCTGAAAAGCTTTCCATCTGTGGCTCTACCATTTTTTCACTGGAAATACAAACACCTTCATATTTTATCAAAAGCAACAACCACTCTTTATTGCTCATCATTTGATGCCTGTCTTCCAAGTGATTCCAAACATATTTTTTCATATCTCATGTAATTTCTTTAGACTTACAACACCAACCTGCACCTATAAGTTGCAATTCTGAGCAATTTTACATAATGTGTTTAACATATAATACTTATGTGCTGTCAATCAACTCGTCTACCTTTATTTCTAACGTTTAAATCTCACAATTAAGCCATACAAATGTTGATCAGTTGATCAATAAATGTAAATAAATAATTGTTGCACCACTAACGTATTTTTTACAATTCATGAATCTTACAAAACACATGCACACAGTAAAGATATGCTCCGTCTAATCTATAGACAGCTCCAAGCTATAAACTAACTAAATGTGGACTGAACCCCTACAGAAAATGCAGTGGTCTGGGTGTTTTTGAACACTTACTTGCAAGTATCACTTTCACACTCCGGCTGGTCAGTGCCCCGAGGGCGCTGGCACTCACACAGCTGTAACTCCCCTCCACATCATGGGGGGGTAGGCTGTTTGTAGAGGTTGGCAGCAAAATAATGGATCCGTTGACGAGATGCTGTAGGTATTCCTCCCCCTTCGGGGGGAGAGGCTCTCCATCCTTGAACCAGCTTACATTGAAAGGTGCGTCACTGACCCCCAGGTTGCAGTCCAGCAAAAGGGGCAGGCCTGGCTCTAACACCACATGGCTGGGCCCAGCACCACAGCTCAGCTCCACCGAAACAGCTTTTTCTGTGTAGAAAAAAAGAATAGGACAGCATAGGATCAGCTAAATTCTCACACATCTTGCACCTATACTTTTTTGGACCATTTTCAGCTTTGATTATGGCCTTGGCATTGTTTAAAACAATACAATATCTCTATTCCGCGCCCCCGCGCCCCCCCCCAGAATGACATGAATTTGTCTCCATGATATTGTATTGTATTATGGATGACGGGAGTCAGACTTATGCTTAAAGTCTACAGCACATTTCTTAGATTCCCAAAGCAGTTTATGTCTGGACCATCTTTCACAATTTGAACCTGATGAAAAGACAATGTCATCTTGGAATATGCCCTTGGGAAGATAAGATGTGTTGAAGAAAACCACCCCGTCATCTATTATATTCACCTTTTAATTTCTTTTTTTGGGGGGCACATTATGTTGCTGAACCTGGACCTGATAAATTGACACAACCCAGAATTATAACCACTCCAGCAGGTTTGCTGACAGGCACTGATCATTTATTTTTATCCCCACACAAAGCTCGATTTGTGTTTTGCATACATGAATCAAGAACAGGTTGCAGCTTGACTTGGCTATTTCACTAAACTACCAGTTTTGCCCCACCGTACATGCATCAGAGAGGACAAGCAACTGTAGAATGTTTGAGAAGTAGCAGAATATCTTTAATATTTTCTAACTTTCTCTTCCAGACAAGTAAGTATAGCCATACTCCATAATTGGATTAAACTGGTTAAGAAAAAGGATGGATGGTTGATTTCACCAAGTGTTGAAATGATCTCACGTCACAATCATTTCTGATTATCTCTTGAATTTAAACAGGCCTTTTATTATATCACTCAACTTATAATGAACTTATGAATCACTTCTGCACTCTCCACAGGTAGGCTTTTTTATTTATCTGCATAGCTTTTTTCCACCCTGTGAATGGATGGGTAGCTTTGATCCATTACCTAGAGTTGGCTGTCTGGCTTTTCTTACAGTTCAGATGTCTTACACATTTAGCTTGTAAATCAGTTTATGTTTCTTTGCATGCATGGCGACCTGTTCGGGGTAAATATGTAGTACACATAAAGTTGGTTATGTGTCTGTTTTTTCATTGCATTTAATGCAAGTCTCTGGGATATCGGGATGTAAATAATGCAATTTAAACAGCGAGATATAAGGTCTATATAACCTTTTAAACTGTAACATTCTGAACCTGGAATTTATTGCTCGGGTTTGACCCAGATGGCATGTTCTGTCTCCCTCCTCAAAAGAGGTACCTGACTGAAAATCTTTCTTCCGTGCTGACAAACAATCGAGAGTGAGATTTTTTTTTAACCTTCTAAAAATATATTATAAAAATCACCCAACTGATCCCTGCTGAATAAACAGTATGTACATTTTGGAAAAAATGTTTCCTTTGAGGATAATAAAAAGCATATTTACTGCTCTTTGAAAACAACCATAGCTCAACTCTGAGTTGCTCCTTTTTCATCTATCTGGCTATTTTTACGCTTTTGGGCATCTTTACACTTCATCATGCTGGCTATTTGTGTCGACTCATCAGTGTCAACACTTGCCAATTTGTCTTTTCACAGCATAACTTCAATAAAGTCAATAATGCTGCTAGTATAGATGGATAGTGGCGGTGCATTCCAGAGAAGAGAGAGTTAGGGGACGGACAGGAGGCCATAATGAGGAGGACGAGGAAAGCTCTGCAAATGAAACTGGTGCAGCTACATGAAGGGATTTGTATGTCAGCAGCAGGACATTAAAGTCAGAGAAACAGAGAGTTCATGGAGGGAGAGTTTGATGAGCTGGTGTGAGATGAGCTGCAAATGACTGCATCAACTGCAATCAAACGAGATCTCTGTGATACGCTGGAAATTTCACAAAGCTTAAATACAGTCAAAGCCGAATCACTATTTGACTATAGACTGTGAAATTCCACATCATTAAGAAAGACAGATAGCGTTGATTATGAATACAAATGAGGTCATTATCTCATAGCACTATCACACAATGCAATGACCTCAAGATCATTGCGCAACAGGCTCCTGATTTTATCGTCTTCATTTGTTCATCATATCTGGCACAGCTTGGTATTTAGACCCAATCCTTCGATTATTACTCAGGCTGATTTTCTTTCTGGTCTGCCCACTATCATTTACAACAGCATCCTGTCTTGTTAATTTAGTTAAACAAATGACGTGACTGAAACAAAAAGAGAGAGAGAGAGATTGAACAAATAAAGATTTCAAATGTGGAGTGAAATGATACTATAAATCAATATTCTTAGGGTAGATGGATGCCTTTGCACACACATAGAGGGAAGAAAAGTAGTTGCATTATTATTTTGCTTCGAACAGACTGTACATTATCTTGACCATGATTGATTGATCATGCCTCTAGTGTGAAGAAACTTGTCCATATATCATGCATTGATATGCACTTTGAAAGATTATTGAGACAAAACGCAAATGGTTTTCCTTTCAGTTTTTCCTTTCCTTTTATATTAGAGAACATAGCTATAATAAAAAGTAATAAATAAAACTGTGAAAACATTTCAATCTGCAATTTAGTCTTAAACTGACAATTCAATCATATGATGGTCAGCACTGCAATAGATGAGGGATTTCACCAGTCTTATATAATTTGATATCAATTCTATATCATTTTCATATATACTTATAATTATTACATTTTCATTTTTCCTTTTTAGACATAGCTATGGCTTTGTCTTGGGAAAAGAATGATTAAGATCAGGTTTTTCACCTTCTTACCTCCTTTCTGAATGAGACGCCTCTTATGACAACAATGTCCTGTCTTATGTTTAACATTTATTTTCCCGCCAGATTAAATGCAAGTGCCACAAAGCTTCCAGGTGCATGAGGTCACATACAAGGGCTTAGTGTTTTTTTTAATACTTCTCTATTTTAAAGGAGCCAAGACTGCTTGATTTCAGCCATCGACAAACCTGAAGACTGATTTATGTGTGGAGCTCAGTGGCCATTACTGCTGAACACATTTACTGCTACAGTGAAAGGTTTGGGTTCCAAGTGTTCGACCCTTCCAACAGATGAAGGTAACTGTGTGCCCATATGTAGCACAGCTGCATTCTGATTTTCCCAGTAAAGCTATTAATGCAACAATTGTCTGTTTCTTCCTCTGCAGAGGGACTGCTGACTAGCCAAAAAACTGCCAAAATGGCCTTTAGTGTATATGTTGTAATGTTAAACAGATATAGATTTTTAAAATTGCAGGAGAGAAAATGTACTGAGAGTATGAGATCATTTTCTTTTGTTATCGCTTAATTAGTTCTGTTTCCCTATTGGCCATGGTCCATCAAAAGAAACTACCAATAGCAGGAGGCTCTGACTAATAGCATCCCCATAGTAATTACAACTGCTAATTTCCAGTTGGGCTGTGGGTGGAGTCTCAGGGGCTGGTTTGCATATTTGTTCCCTATTGTGCATTTAAGCGTTGTTATACCTTTGGTGCGAGTTTTTGAAAATAAACAAACAGATGCATTCACCCGTATCCATAAATAGAATGATCACAGACAAATCCCCTTGTACAAATTATTTTCTTCTACAATAAATCAAATGAGATAAATTGCCTAATTTATCTTCATAAACACCCAATAGAGACAGCATTAATGTGTATTCTGATTTAGTTTAAGTATAGTTATGGACAGTAGAAGTCATTCTAATATTCAATTGAAAGACACCTTTGTCAATTTACCTCAAATTAGGTTTTTTTTTTACACACACAAACAAACAAGCAGGTTACCTTCTCTGCCGTCGGATTAATTAAGTAAATGGGAGATGGAATTTTTCCATTGATTAAATGAGGCTTGACCCCCCCTGCACCACCACCACGATTACATTCTGATGACGAGAAAGTGTATTTGTGTGGTATAGCACTGTACTGCACACACAAATAACAGTGATGCAGTTAACATAATCACATATTCACGTAAAATCACAAACAAGCACCGAAAATGTATCAAAACAGAAACATATACAGACTTCAGGTGTAAAGCAAACTTTAAACTAACTATATCTCTATGTCAGCACACACTGGTCACCTCCATGGTTCCTTACTTCCCTTCTTCCAATGATACTAATTCAGTCTCATTATGTAATTAAATCATTAGTAGCTCATTCTGAGCTCACTGCTAAAGGTTTCATTTGGTGAGAAAGGGGTATGATTTAAAATGACCCCTCTAGTAGAAAATGTGTAACAGCAGCTAAATGCATTATAAAAGGAGTTTACGTTTAGAAAACTTTTGAAAATACGCCTGTTTGTACAATTAAATATCCAGAACACATCTGTAAGACAGAACTGAGGCCCAGCATGACCTACTCCTCTTAACAGAAGGAGAGTTAAGCATATCAGATATTTCAAGTAGCTGGCATGTCATCTGGGAATAAAACACTTGATATTCAAACACATCTGCACCAGAAACCTTGCTCTGCCCTAGATTTTTAGCTTCTTCCTCACACACACACACACACAGTACACATACACTAACATACCCCCGTATACTGACAGATGTGTGCACGCCCACACAGAAACTGTCAGTGTCTCATGAGGACACCGGACAGTGAAGGGGGGAATTGGTGAAGTGGCCACTTTGCCATTCTGCTATACAAAAAGGAGCTGCTAGAAGGGACAGTGCGCATTAGAGGATAGTTGTGGCTGATTGGTCTATTTATGCTGGAGGATGTATTGTAAAATAGCTAAGAAGATTAAAGTTATGTACTAGTACTTTAAATGGAGTTAGGACAGAGGTTTGAAAAAGTAGAAGGGATGACAGAGACCAAGAGTACACAAGAGACAGACTAACATAAAAAAAGGTAGATGCCGACTCATGGCCCACAATTTATAAAATGCTCCTCTATCACTTTTGTAACCTTGAATGGATTCATGATACATTCTTCAACTGCTAATAACCAACTAATCATTTTAGGAAATTCAAGTTGCTTTGTGACCCCAATATGGAAATGGAGGGACATATTCAAATCAATTCATATCTTCATAATTGCATCCAGAGTTAAATTGATTCATAATCATATTCAAAAGACCCAAAGATGAGAA